AAAGCACTCTTCACAATGCTATGTTATATTGCTGCCAAATGTTACAGAAGGACCTGTAGAAATATTTATCGTAAGCATTTGGTGCAGGATTGCACTGGAACTGCAGCAGGTTGAAACAAGATCATGACTGGGCTAGAGCTTCTTTTTAAACTAGCAAGGTCAAAGGCACAGACAGAAACTGAAGATTTAATGACTGCTCACTGTCTGAACAGCTGGGACTTCAGTGATGGTAATGAATGCTGCCTAAAAATCTACTATGAGGATTTTAACCATTTTGGAGTCTTCAAGAGAAACAAGAGTATAAATAATGTCTTTTGAAAAAGAAGGCAAAAAGTAGGCAATCAAGACTGCTTCTGTAACCTGCCACAGTGTTTTCATTGTGACTCATTATGGAAGTGCAGCTGAGAAGGGTCAGTGTAACTTTCTGCTCAATTTGCAGAAATAAACAAGATCAGCAAACTGCAACTACAAATCAACGACGGGTTACTAAATTTAGCTTTCATATATGTAGCTTTTTTATGTGCTCCCTTGTGGTCTGAAGATTACTACAAGCCTAAAAAACATGAGGAAAGAAATGGGAAAATGTTCCAGCAATACATTATAACACAAGTCTATGCTGAAAGAAACCAGACGTGCAAGAAGCTGTGGATCTACATATATCACTGTTGACTGAAATTTAATTTACCTGAATCAGTCTGAGGTAAATCACAGTCAGACACACATGGCATAATGATGAACACTAGAGCACCTACCTCGACTCACTGACAATCTCATCTCTGCCAGACTTTGGTCACCACCTCCATTGTTTATGCATATGAAGAAACTGAAGAAATGAGAGAGTTCACTTACAGTGTCATGTTGATTGGGTTAGCTTGAATTATTGTAATGCCTGAATTAATCCAAGCTAGTTGACTTTGCGGTGGAGTGGATGTGGAGCATTCCCGCAAGCAGTTACAGTTCCACCTGTGCGTAGATGATCCCTTCCAGCTAAGGATAGTAAACCTGTGCTCTTGCACTCTGTCACATAAAAGCTCCCTGGCTTTTTGACAGGTGATGCTGAAGATGGCATTCAAATTCAGAAATCAGTCCAGGCATTCTGCTTTTTCATCTTGATCCTGAAATACCATTGTCCTAAGTGGCTTAATTATATGAAGAAATCAATGCAAACATCCTGAGTCAGTGGGACAATTTTGAAGTAGACAAGAGGTTTGAAGTCATGCATATGTGTATGTACTAATTAAAGTAGGATGGAGGTCATGCACAGCCTATTAATCATCCTGTGTATTTAAGGAGCAGACATTTGTCCCTTATAGGTCATTTGTGGTCTTATTTTATACATGTTAAATGGAAAAAAAAAACCATTCCTTTTACTCACTAGTGTTGAGAAGCTATTGTAATATCATTCTGAGCTTGCTAACCTTCAAGTGGCATGCTTCATGCTTTATGGTGGTTGCTTAATAAACAATGCCTGTGTGTGTGACCACACTCATCCCTGTTGTAAACATGCTAGCTCAGTGACTCCAATGAAATAATGCTTGCATTCACATATTCTGAATTTTGGGAAAGGGATAGGTTGCTTATGATCTTTTTAGCTTGTTTTGTATATTCTCTCACAGAATTGGTTGATGAGGTTTTATTGAGGAGTTTTATATCCTTTCATATATGCTTACTAAATTTGTATCTTCATAAGACTCAAATAATTCAACATTGCCAACCAATGTTTATTTTATTGTTCACACTCTCACCTTTCTTCTTGGGAATTACTTTTCTTAGTTACTTTAAAAATTGTTACTCAGTGTTTGTAATAGCAAAAGTAACACCAGGAGAAAGTGGAATGAGGTTAGCTTTTGTGAAGAAAAAGACTTCTCAGAATTCAAAAGAAATTATTATTTGGACATTGATTGTTAGATATTTTTTTTTTGTTGTTGTTACATCTCAAATGGATTCATGGAATTCATTATTCCGTGGAAAACTGAGGTAATCTGCCGTTAAAAAAAAAAGAAAGGGCAGGTGGGAATAGCTGGGTAACCATAAAGCTGTTTATCCTGAATGACAGGGGAAATAGAAGAAATTGAATGGGAAAGTGGAAAGCTGTCTCTGACACACCCTAGGAAAAGGAAAACAGAACCATTAATACTCCTAAACTGTAGTGGTCACGCACACCTGTCTGGCATGGAAAGATCTTACTGGTTTGAAATTCTGTTTGTAAAATGGGCGATATAGATGGGTATGACAGTGTTTAACAACAGATGGAATTGGCTCCAGTGCCTATTTCATTTAGCTTCTTCACGTGCTAATTCTCTTCTGCAAGACTGCTCACGCGCTGCACTTCGAGCGGCTTTCAGTGGGGTACCGTATTTTGCTACTGTTTCCATCCAACTTCCATTTATTGTGGAATATCTGTCCAAAATTACACTGCTTTAGAAACACAGGTTCCATAGTAGCCAACCCTAGATCAGTGTTTGAGTCCTGCTCGAGATTCTGTGCAGAGCAGAGCTTCTGAGCTGAGTGACTTAAATAGCTCCCTGAATCCATTAACCTGTAAGTTTAAGATTTTGTGTCTTGTAGTGACTTATCTCACTATGCTCTGACTAAAAGATTTGTCTTGAAGGACATACCTTGTTATTCAGGCTCACTCATTGCATTTCCTTTTACTAGTGGGCTGTTTACAGCACACAACATAAAGGTGTTGAGGAAAAAATGAAACAAAAAATAAACTTAGGAGTATCTTTTCCTCAGACCACATTTTATGGTTACCATTAATATCCCTGCAGACTTCCTGTAGTTAAAAGAAGAAGCAGCAGCAGCATGTGACCCCAGGAATCTAAAAGAAAGTAACCTGCAGAAAGGAACTAGAGTTGCAGACAGCTTTCACAGATTAAAAGGATATATTGAACAGAATTTTTAGCTTTGCCATTTTTTGCGAGGAAGCGGACCCACTGTGTTGGGTTGGAAGCTATGTCTGCAGAACATACAGCAGGAAAACACAAGTCCATTCTGCTCATAGTCGGAGTGCAAGTGCAACTTTGATCCAAAAGAAAAGTGACCAGGCTAGGGACAGCTAATGCGCTATTTTGGGTGACTGCCAGGAAGCGATAGTTGTTTTTGTTAACAGCCCTGGTCATTAAGAGTTTTATTCTAAAACCAATAACCTAGTCAAGTCCTTTTTTAAAAACACTTTATATATAAAAATAACATGAATATTTGTATACATCTGTGTACATACATGTACATACTGTGTACATACATGTACACAGATGTCCATATGTTTGTATATCTATAAATCCTCTTGAATAAATTATGGCAATGTTGCACATGTTATTATGGAAGACCATAAGCAAGGCTAGTTGTGTAAGGAAGAAATATCGTTAGAACAACCAGTATGAGAGGGAAGGAGGGACAGACAGGTGTTTAGGCCAGTTATCCCTTCCAGACTGAAGATCTGCTTGTGTCTGAATGCTAATCTGTTGTGTCCACCTATGCTACCAGACTGCGTTACTTGAAAGATGCTCGCTGTCACTTTAATTTCATTATTTTCTTTTGCCATGACTGGCTGTTTAACATTAAATATTTACTATCCTTCCTGGGGATCTGCACTATTGTGATTATACAAACTAAACAGAAAGATATAAAAGCTAGCCTGTAACCAGAATTTCTTTTTTGCTTTCTTGTCGCAATTTGTTTCCTCTGTACACCACAAGTTTGTGCTGAGGACTGACACATACACACACCTTCCCTATGGTGGTGCTGTGCTCAACCTTTAACTCAAAGAGCAGCTGTAGAAACTGTTCCGAAATACCTATATTAGCTATGATACACTCTGTTTAGATTATTTCTGAAATGGACCTGTTACTGTGCATAACGAATAGAGCTGTCAAACATGGTGAAATTTTATTGTTTAGTTCCTTTAGTTGAACCATCTTGGAACTGACTTGTTTACTCCAACAGTTACATGGGCTGCAGCTACATAAGTGAGTACGAAGTAATGTGATTGTGTCTGGGCTAAAGCAGATAAGAGGCAAGAAATGTCGTAGTGACATTTTTGTGTTATTAAGCAGATGATGAAGTAAACCATATTAAAGAAAGATGACACTTCGTAGACTACTTTTTAATGTTTGCTTTAGGAAAAGCACACTCTCGATATGGGAGACTTGGGATGACATGGTAGCTTGGAAGAGGAGGACTCAAGTACACAGGAATGCAAAGAATTATTCCTAGTAAGGCTGTTCCACAGAGATGCTGAAGCTGTGGGTGTATTTGGAGCAAAAAATTATTTACTGTGAACTGAATCTGAAATATATGAGATGTCTACTTTATCTAAAAGGGACTGTTTCATTAGAGGCATAATGGTGCTAGCTCTGTTAAACATTTCCTTAATCAGCCTTTTGGGAAATTTGCTGTCTCCAAGCTTGCTTATATTCAGCAAGTTGCTGAAGTCTGTAGTTGCATTTGAGAAGTTGGGTAATTTGCTGCTTTCATGACAGCCTACATGCTGAGCAAATGGTTTATAGTGATTTATGGGTACGAGTAGAACTGGCTTGAGCAGGAGGGCTACAAAATGGTCAATCTGTTTTCAGAACCTCACATCTGAAACAATGATAGATGGGTAGTATTGTTAAAACTGTGAATGGTAAAGCTATTTTGCACAGTACCAGGTTAGCTGTGTTAAATCCTGTGATACTGGATTGAGGATAATTCAGAAGTCATTCTGGGGACTGGGGAAGGAGACTGGGAATACATATGAGAGTTACATAGACAGTATGTTACTAGCAAAGCTTGAAGTATCTTTGTGTTGGGTTGATCCTGGCTGGTAACTAAGCACCCACCAGCTGCTCACTCACTTCCCTCTCCCCCTCTGGTGGAATGGGGGAGAGAACTGGAAGAACAAAAGTGAGAAAAACTCATGGCTTGTAATAAAGACAGTTTAATAAGTGAAGGAAAGAATGAAAACACACAAGTGATGCAAAGTCAGTCTCTCACCATCTCCCACCAGTAGACCGATGCCCAGCCAGTCCCCAAGCAATGGCTACATTGGAAAGACCAAACCCATGAGTTTTATGAGCACAACATTATATGGCAGGGAATATCGCTTTGGTCAGTTCTGGTCAACTGTCCCAGATCTGTCCTCTCCAAACATCTTTCCCAGCTTCAGCCTACTCGCTGAGGGTGCAGAGTGGAAAACAGAAAAGGCCTTGATGCTGTGCAATCACTGTTCAGCAAGAGCTGAAACACTGGTACACTATCAACACTGTTTTAGTCACAGATGTAGAACACAGCACCATACTGGCTGCTATGAAGCATCTCAGCCCGAGCCAGTACAATCTTCTGCAGTATCTAACAGAATAAAAATACCTTAAAATAACTTTTTGAACAACAGTACCAGGTCAATGTAATTTAGGATATTGAGAAGATGGCATCTGAGTATGGAAAGAACCATGTCCAGATTGTACTCTTGGGAAAACAAGATACAGTCTTTGCTTCCTGAGAATACTGATTCCATTCCAGTCCATTGTGGATGAACAATACTGGTGCTATATTTCTGTATAATAATTGTGGACTTGGAGAATAGCACAAAATGTCTATTTTCTGGCATAACAGATCTTACTTGTTTTCTTCCTTATTTCTCAATTGAGTGAAGACGTTCAAATTTTTTATATACTGTATTGTCTTTTTTGAATTAATAATCTGAAAGCTAAGATGTTAGTGCCCTATGGAAGAAGAGCATGTAGTATATGTGTATATATCAGACATTATGGCACACATATTTTTGTAGAGAAGTACAGTCAAATTAAATACAAGAGAAAGTATTTTCCACATGCATGCATTAAAGCAGTGACATATCTGCATGTAGTATGCTTGATTAGTACAATTAAAGGATGTAAGAACATGTGATAAAATATGACACGAATTACATGCTAGACATGGTATCCCTATGAGTTAGTCCGAAATGACTGGCATCTTTTTTCCAGTGGTTTTAACCATGCATGCCCTATGTTGGCACTGTGGCAAAAGTTCATCTAGGCGGAGGTCTTAGTCTGGAAGTGATGACACTGAAGTGTGTCTGTTGTGATGTCAAACATTTAGTAGTGCTGAGGTGCTGTTGGAAAGGGCTGGAGCGTTGATTAGGTCACAAACTAGCATTATCTTCTCACAGTATGGGTGGAAGTAGCTTCTGGCTGTCCACACTTGATATTATGGTCAAACCTGGAATCATCTTCAGTTTGTCAGACTACCTTTTCAGTATTTTTACTTGTTTCGTGTGATGAATAGAAGGTCACACAGATTTTTTTTGCCAATACTTGTGAGTTTCAGATGAAAAGAAAGAAGCAACAAATAAAACCCTTAGGCCTTACTTTTATGTGTCATCTCATTGTGGAAATTTGAGTAGAACAGTGGCTTACAAAGTTTGTCTGTTAAGGAAAACATGAAGTCAGTTAACTTAAATATATCTGTGAAATGCAGCACTATAATATTCGACTGTGCTTTACAATTAACACTTCTGTGTTTATGCATCAACCACCACAACTAAGTTGGAAAGTAGGACTTTGTGCTTAATGTGTATTTTTTATTTAGTTATTTTTTGCAAATTGTTGCTCTTCATGTTAATCTATGATAAGTGGTTGACTGTGAACTCATCACCTTCATCTAATATGGGTTTAAATACTTCGAAATTTACAGTTTCAATAAGTTCAATATTTCAACTCTTAGACATTTATACAGCAGCTTGCAACGTAAACTCAGGTGTAGTGTGAATAAAAGTTAAAAGTGCACAAGTGTTTTTCCAAATTATGCACATCTGAAAATTTTAGGTTACCCAAGTAGCCGTAATAAGGATAATTTGGAGTGAATGCTTAGCTGACTGGATCTGCTAAGTAGCTTAGAGTAATTGTAAAGGGAAATGAATTTGTGTCTTACTTCTCTGAATAATGAAAAGCTATCCCGAAGAGTTGTCATAGCAGCGTGTTTCTCATCTAAATAGCATTGTACTAGTGTGTGTACAAGTCTTGTCATTGACTAGCATTCCTGTTAATGGACCACTTATATAGCCTGATCAGGTTCCCACTTGAACTTCGTTGAAAATATCAGTATAGCAATACTTTTACTTATTTTTTTTTTCACTAATTATTTAAATAGATTTGTCCTAGAGGTGAAAGGTGGGGGGTTTGTGTTGTTTTTTAACTGATTCATTGCCTCCAGCCTGCTATTTAGAGTTTGATTTTGAAGAAAATGAGTAATTTTTTTAATCACATTTGCCTTATAGGTTAATCTCCGAGCCACTGATGTGAAGCTTATGCGCCAGCTACTCATCATCAATGAAAGTATTGAATCAATCAAGTGGATGATTGAAGAGAAGGCCATTGCCAGCAGAGGTAGCAGTTTGAGTGGCAGCCTGTGCAGCTTGCTGGAAAGTCAGGAGACATCCCTCCACGGCAGTTGTAACAGTTTACAAGACTGTAGTGATGGACTTGACGGAATATCAGTGGGGAGTTATTTGGACACCTTAGTGGATGATGTCCCTGGTCACCAAACCCCTTCAGATATGGACCAGTTCAGTGATTCTTCTATTATGGAGGACTCACAGCCTCTGCATAAGCATCCCAAAATTGATTCTGATGAGTACTACTGTTTTGGTTAATAAAAACAAGTTCCAATGGGACACAAATGCACTTGTACTTATCCTTTTTCTTGGCTGCTATTTTATTTCATGTGCAAAACCCCCAAACTTTTCTTGGAAGGAAAACATAATATGATACTTTGATTCCACTTCATAACTTTTGTGTTGCTTCTAATACATTTTCTCCTTGGTGGGTTGGGCTTTCCTCCTCCTCACCTTTTCTTTTTCTTAATTTATTGTAACAATTTTTCTTTTTTATTTTTTTTACAATGCTGTATTTACAGGTCTTTAAAAGTGGTGACGGAAAAGCTTTATCTTTAAAAGGAGACATCAGGGAACGAGAGCAACAATTTTGTATTTGTTGGCAATAAAATATCTTCTGATAAATATATGTTGTGGTAAATTTTCTTGACTACCAGGTTTGGCCTTTCCAAAGACACTGTTCTTATTGAGCCTTAAATCTGAATCCTGAAAATACCTCTACAAAATAATTTTCGTTTTGTAAGCAATGATATTTGATTCTGTTAAGCTGTCTTCACTCAGAATATAAAGTATCCTAAACTTTTCTGTGTGGGGTTCTTTCTTCTTGAATGTTCTCATCCTTCTTGTCTGATTATGATTTTAAATTCTGGGCTTCATTGGTGTCTTGCAGTGATGCATTCCAATACTGGAAGCTCTGCATAAGAGTATATTTCATTTTTGTTCTTCATACCTTTCATTTCCATTGAAACTGCTGTTTCAATGTTATAGGCACAGTCTGTATCTGTAAAAAATCGAAAGAGGCATCCCACATTAAATATATCCAATTCTAATAATTTGGATATTGAGCCAAAATTCCTTAGCAGAGTTATTTTAAAAACATAATTTAAAGTCTTGACAATTTTTACCTTGAAATTTTGAGGGATTTAGAGGGCACTGGTGAAACATTTTACAGGAGGCAACATGCTAGAAGGCATGTGCTGATTTGCTTTTGTATGCACACCCTCATCCTTAACAAGTTTACTTTGTTTTTACCAAATATTATTACTAAGAGAAAGTGTTGCCCTGCTGTCTTTTTGTTTCCTGTTTTACAAATAAGAGTCTGCTTTAACCTTTTTGTGCCTACTGGTACAGTTGAGAGCTACGGCTAGTCATTCATATTGGAAGCATCTGAGAAGAGAAACAGGAACAAACTGCTGTGTGGAAAGTCTCTGGCTTTAAGACTCCCCTGGCCCATGCTTTTGTGCAGAAGATTAGGATGCAGATTCTTCTTTTAACTGCTTCAGAATCATGAAGAAACAAGATTTTAGCCTTCTAGAGTAAAGACAAAATAAGAATAAAAGAAATAGAATTGAACTGGGCACTTTAACAGATTAATGAACGTGTATTTCCAGCTTATAAATCATGAAAGAGATGTTGATACTTACACATCATCTAAAACTGTCCTGTCTTGCCATGTCTCTATTCCTACTGCCAGAAAAGCATGAAATTCCCTCACTGAAGAAACTAATGTTTGCCAAGTATAATACAGGCCCCCTATTTAAAATATCTTTCACACATTCTGACGGAATAAAGCTAGTATATGAAGCAGTCGACGTATGTTGGTTTAGTTCATTTTGTGATAAAGTAGTAGTCCAATAAGGTTCTGCTCTTCTAAGCCATGTTTCCATGGACCTGTCTTGTCCAGCCTTGATCAACATCAAATGTGGAGAAAAGGTAAAACTCAAGAAATTGCAAGTGGCAATTTGTGCTTTGTGGTTAGCTCCATTACTTCTTAATACAGTAGATGTCTGTCTCCCTCAAAATTAAAAAAAAAAGTATGTATATTTTACTTTGGACATCATGATTTATTCAAATAGAAAGAGTGAAGAAATGTGTGGTTACTAAGAATGAGGCTTCTCAGTTCAACCAGGGTATTGCAGACAGCTTGAAGGAAAACAGCGGCAAGCCCTCAAATGACAATGCTGTGCTGACTTAACATTTTTAGGTTTTTTAATTCCTTCCCCAGCTTATGACTGCTGGACATAGTTTGAAAAAAAAAGTTTGAAGAAAAAATCGTGGAAAAAATTATTTCTCAATGTACCATTAAACAACATCAACTGTGAATTCAAAATAGGTTTTATTACTTTACTTTAAATTATTTGAATCTAGGGAACAGAACTAACTCCCTGGTGCAAAACTTTCAAGTGAGTTTTTCTACCTTTATTGCTTGGTGTGGAAGTTAACATCAGGTTGTACACTCCCTCTGAATATAATGAATGTGCAATATACACAGCCTTTTCTTCTCCAACTGAGATTTTGGGCAGTAGGCCAAGATGCACGTAACATTTTTCTATGAAAGAAATTAAAAAATATTCGTAACATACCTTCTCACATACCCCCTAGAGTTATGCTGAAATTGCTTCAAGGAAAATACAGGCTATAGCTGTCACCCACCCACTCACAGCTGTAATACTGGATAAAGAGTAATTACCTCAGTGATAGATTTATCATATGATTAAAAAGTTCATTTACATGGGAATCAAAGCTGGCAGGAAAAAAGCCTACTACTAGAAGTGGTAAAATAAAAACTGTATGTGATTAGCAGCTTTTATTCCTGTATGTCTCTTGACTGGAAATGGAGAAAGAGTACAAATGACAAAATAGAGAGGCCAGGAGACTGTTGGAAGGAAACAAGAATTTCCAGGTGTTGTGTTTCTCATATCCAGGAGTACAAACACCTTGGGTTTTATTTCTGAAGTAAAAAAACTTCAAAGATTTAGGTTTGACTTAGATTCCTTAATTGCATTAATAGGACTTCATAGCCAAAAGATAATAATTTACTCTGACTTTCCGCTTGAGACAGACCATGAAATTTGATTATCTCCTGAAATGAATCCAATAATTTACAATTGAACTACAACTTCACTATTTAGAGAATGGAAAATATTCAATGCTTTTTAAAAAAATATTCCAATTGGGTAATTGATGCTGCTTTTAAACAGTTTACATATTTCTTCCAGCTTCCTCTTGACTTTGTCGACCTTGGTCTTGCAAAATCTTTGTCCGGTAAAAAGGGATCTGGATGCCCTCTTCTAGCATTATGCAGAGCTGGGTTCTTTTTTCCCTTGGGTTTCCTTGTAATTTTTTTTTCTGATTTACAGAACTAAAAAACAATATTCAGTAGTACAGAGCAGAGTATCTGAAAGCACTTTACAAAGCTATGTCTGTTTCGAATGGATAAAAGCAACAATTAAAAAAATAAAGTGGAAAAATAGTAATATAATTCATTTATTCTCTGTCATTTTCTATCAACTTGGATCTTCTGTCACTTAACTTCCTTCTAGGGATGACAAACAATTTCAAGACAATTTGTGAAATCACAGATAATGAGCAACACCCAGTCCATTCTTATTTCCATACTGCTGATGTCTTTGAAAGACATTCCACTATGTAAGCTGTGTAATTCAGAGACAATAAGGGACAGTCAAAAAAGATAGATTCAGTATGATTTCTGTTTTAAAATAACTGTTTCCTGCTAATAATAGGAACCAGCTAGTAAATGGATGTGCTCTGGTTCACGAACAAACTATTGAAAGAGGGAAAAAAAAAAAAAAAGCTCAAACTTTCACATCTGAGAACTGTGGCACTTTAAAGATTCTGCCAAGACAGTCTAGCTGTGAAGTTTTCTTGCACTTTCAAAAGAGCAATTAAAATTATTTGAAATCTCTGTGCCAGCTGCTGGGTCTAGTATTGATCTCCAGGTTGCATGACTGTTTGTGTCTCCACTAATGCTGTGAGAGGATGAAGAACCAAGCAGGAGCTCTTGGATCCATCAGTAGGCCAGAAACGTTGTACTAGGACAGTGAAGACAGAACAACATCTCTGCCTTTGGAAGGCACACTACCATTATCCTGCAAATTGAAATAGGATGGTAAAAAAAGGCAGAAATCTGGTGTGTCTTGTTAAAATGAGCCCTGACTTTTCAAAGGAGTGGTAAAACGCTGGAAGTACTGTCAAAATGTTTAAAAGTTTAAAGTTTCAAAAATCTTTCTCCACATTTCCCTTTGCAAAAGAGAACTGGTTAGTCAAGGTGGGTGAATTGCAGTCTAAAATAATGTCTGATTACACCATGTAGCTGCATCTCATATAACCTTATATAATCCACTAAGAAACTGTGGGGTTTTTGTTTAGTAATCTTAAGCAGTTACTAAGCTGTCTAAAAAGCCTGTGCTAGTATTTTTCATGTTGCCAACACTTCTTCTGAACCAAGCCTAAAAGATGTGTCTTTGATATAAAGAATTAACACATACCCAGTAAAAATGAGATCAGTAGAAAGCATCCATCACCTTCCAGCAAAGGAGGCTTTGTTTCACTTTAAATGTATTCTGTTACAGCAAGTTTGTCTTTCTCAGAATAGCTATGAATTTACTATAGAAACAGTATAAGAGCGTCCTGCCCTGAAACAAATAGAAGTTTTCCCTTACATAAATTAAAAAGAGATTAATTCTGCCTGCACTTGACCTTTCCATTGGTCAGAGATTAAACTTCCCTAGTAAGTACATCTAGAGTGATTTTTTTTTTTTTTCTCCCAAGGAATTTTCTATGCTATGGCATACCACTAATAGATAAACAAGCTTCCTGAAGTTTTTTTAAAAGCATACTCTTCCAGCAAACATGTCTGGTCTTCAGGACTGACATTTCCGTATAGTCTTGCTTGGTTTTGTTGGCTCAGTCCCGAAAGAAACACATTTGAAAAGATATGTCTTTTAGTTACTGTTAGGGGACCACATGGTACAAACATCTGAGAATAAATATTGATAACACAGTTTTCTTTCTCCCCCCCCCCCAAAAAAAAAAAAAAATGGCTGGAAAAACTATGTTGGTATTCTGAGCAATTTTTTTTTACCCCATTTTTGTCCGATATCCACATGGAGAGAAAGCAGCAGTTTGAGCCCAAAGGTCTGAAATCATACTTTTACCTGTGGACTGTAGAGCACACTTATCCTCTGTGCAAACTTGTCAGCATTGCTGGGTCCAAAATATTATAGCTAACAGCTATAACATTGTAATACATTAAAACCCTTTCATATGATCACTCTATTGATCATCTTCTGGAAACCTGTGAGACCACTGAAACCTTTTTAATTTAGAAAGAATACTGCTTTGATTTTGTGAAGGAAAATGTTTTTGTTAGAACAGAGTAAATTTTGGTCTATGAATTATGAATTCAAAGGACAAAATAAAAAATAAAATTAAAAATATTTTGTGTTAGGTCTATCTTGTAGTAGACTGTCCTTCTCTTCAATTCTCTTGAAAATAAAAAGCAGCTTATTTTTTCTCGGATGGCATTATGTGAGGTTTTGTCACAACTGTTTAAAGTTGTTGTAAGAGCAAACAGTGGTAGTACCTTATTT